CTCTCTCTCTCTCTCTCTAGTGCTATCCTAGCTATGGCGCCCAGCACTGAAGACTACAGCTACCTACTGGCGCCCAGCGCTGAAGACTAAGGCTAACGCTACTACTACTCCTGCAGTGCTCCCTCCAGAGTGCTGCTGCCGAATCCTGACGACTACTGACTGCCTCCTGCCTGCCCGTGAAGTGCATGGGAAGTCCCTATGTACTACCTCGGCTTGCCTCCTGACTGCCTGCGGGGCGAGCCAGGCCGAGGAGGCTGCTCTTGCCAATGCCGAAGTGTGCCAGGGGCTGGAGCTGCAGCCTCTGCTGAGGCTGTCGTGGGAACAAGCTAAGAATAGCCTGTTCTCGAAACCCAGGTTCGGTGCCTGAGTTTCAGGGCCGGTCGTTCTGATGAACGACCGAAAATGGCCTTTCGTTTCAGGCTAAAAAGGCTATTGCCATTTTTAGTTTGAAACGATACAGGGTCTGCAGGCCCCTGTATTTCAAGCTTTCGAGCTGAACAGACACGGGGCCTGTAGGCCCTGGTTTTCAAGCTTTCAGCCTGAATTTCAGGTTTTCAGCCTGAGGGACGCAGGGCCTGGAAAATGGCCCTCGTGTGCAGGCGCAGCATGTAACACCCCCCCCTCCTCATGAAGTCAAGCCGGGCCGGGGGCGAAGTTGACGGTCTGAAGGTGGAACAGGAACGCGGGTGCGGCGTGGAGCCGAAGATACTGGCTTGCCTTGCATCTTGCGTTTGTAGCGTGCAAGAACGTCTGGAGCTGTCGTTTGTAGTTCCGCACGGGTCAACCAACGGTCAGCTCTGTGGCTGCAGTATGCAAAATGGACCAGATACTCAGTCGGCCTGTTGCCATAGTGGCGCTGGGAAATGATATCGCTGACCTCTTGAAAACCGTCCATAGAGGGTGGGTCTTGCGATCGTCGCCCGGGAAAATCGTCATGGTCTGCTGGCGTGTACAGAGCCAGCTTGGAAACAATGAAAGACCGGGTAGACGGGCAAGTGGGCGGGCACCTGAATGGTGAAGGAAGGTCCTTCAGGTGCATCTCCAGCGGGTGACACGATCGGCCAGAACCCCATCCATTTCGGGAGGAGCTTGCGAGAGATGTCTTGTTCAAGGCTGAATTCCGTTGCGGAAACCCAAACGAGGTCGCTGGTGCGGAATGGGCAAGGAAGACGCTGGCGATTGGCGTGCTGGCTCATGCGCTGCTGCGTCTTAGCCATGTGGTCGCGTGCCTTGACAAGAAGCTCTTGCATCGGACGCAAGGAAAGAAGATGGTCGTCGCTCTCGGTCGTTCGTGGAGTGATAGTGTCCAATGGTGAAGTGACCGGCGAGCCATGCTCGAACTCGAAGGGCGACATCCCGATAGCCGGGTGGATGGAGGAGTTGTAGGCCAACTCGACATCCGGCAGCCGCTCAACCCAATCCTTCTGGTCAGGACGGATGAGAGTGCGAAGGAGAACCTGTGCGGTCTGGTGCGTCCTCTCCGTTTGGCCATCGGTCTAGGGGTGGCCAGCTGAACTGGGCTTGAGAGATGAGCCCCATCGCTTGATGAGCGCCAACCAAAAATCGGACATGAACCGAGCGTCGTGGTAGCAGATGATTTCCTTGGGGTAACCCTTGGTTCGAATCCAACCTGCGTAGAGAACCTCGGCCAACTCGGTGCCTTGGCATGATAGCGACAAGGCAAAAACATGGCGAACTTGGTGAGTCGATTGACCACCGTGAGAATCCCATCCACTCCGGTGTTGTGCTTGGGGAACGGGCCGGTAATGTCCATGGCAATCGCTTCCCTTCGCCTCAACGGGACCGGTAATGGTCGTAACTCGTCGTACGGACGATGGTCGCGGGATTTGCAGCGTCGGCAAACCTCGCATGACTCGCAATAGCGTGTGACGTCGCCGAGGAGGCCGGGCCACCAAAATCGCTCGCGAAGTCGGCCAATCGTGCGATTGGCTCCAAAGTGTCCGGTGGCGGGAGCATCGTGGAACTCGCCAAGAAGCCGTGTACGCAAGTGAGGATCACTCGGTACGCAAAGAAGGTCCTTCCCCCGCGTGTGGACAAGCAAGTACCCCTGTTGGATCCGGTAGTGAGAGGGCGCCGGATTAGGAGAGGAGCAATTCGTGTACTTGTCGCGAAACTCGGGGTCGGCTTGGTAGCTGCGGATGAAGTTGTTCCGCAGGTCGTCGCCGATCTCGAAGGTTGAGTAGACCGCGGTACAATGATCCGGACGCCGTGAAAGAGCATCCGCAAAACGGTTCGACTTCCCCGGAATGTGATTGGGAAAGAAGTCGAATTGGTCAATGAAAGCCATCCATCGAGCGATGGTGCTGTTGACGGTGTCGTGGGTCTTATAGAAGACCAACGGATTGTTGTCCGTTACCCATCGGAATTAACTTCGACCAAGGAGGAAGTGCTACCACCGCTTGAGCGCGTGGACGAAGGTGAGGAGCTCCTTCTTGCGTGCATCGTCAATGGAATGCACGACGGGCACTTTCTTGCTGAAATACTCGATCGGGTGCCAGTCCACACCATCATGTTGCTCGAGGACAACACCAATGCCATAGTCGGACGCATCCGTAGTGACGCGTGTAGGCAAAAGCGGGTCGTATATGCGTAAGACCTTCGAAGATAATAGCGCGGCTTTGACAACCAAAAATGATTCCCGCGCCTCCTCTCCGAAGTCAAACGGCCGACCCTCGCATTGAAGCTTGGTCAAGTGGGCCGCGATCTCAACCTTTGATGAAACGCTGATAGTAGCCAGCGAGGCCAAGGAACGAACGGACATCTGTGACGTTCCGAGGCTCCGGCCACTCTTGGATGGCTTGAATCTTGTCCGATAGCGGACTGATGCCCT